TGAATTTTCTTTGGTGGGTTTTGTTCTTTTGTTTTGACTCCTGCAATAATAACTGCAGAGTGTCTTTCCATTGTTTTTTCTGTATTTTCTTGTAGTATTTTTAAAAGAATTTTTACTTCTTCAATACTACTTTTTAAATCTTTTATTTCTTTTAGAATGTCAGTTATTGTCATTCTTCTCTAAAAAGATTTTCAGCCATTTCATTAATCTTTTTATTTAACTGTTTTAATTGTTTACTTGTACTTGTTTCAGATTCTTCTTTCCATTTAACATTTGGAAAGGGTTGTCTATATGATAAATTTCTTATTGAAAGAAGTGGTTTCTGTTCCTTTATCAGTTTTCTTTGTTCATTAAAATCTATATCACAAGATTTTCTGGATGGTTGTATTAACCATTCAAATTCTGTTTCTTTATTTTCAAGATAATCTGAGAATAAAGGATCAATCTTTATTCCTTTAGATTCTTTAACAATTGTCATATTGTGCTGGTTATGAATTGCATAACTAACTAAATATGAAATTGAGAAAGGTACATTATTTTCTTTGACTAAATCTGTTCTTCTATACTTGTGTACAAAAGAAAGTATTCCATCAAAGTTTTGGTCGTGTAAACTTACTGAAAGTCTTGGATAAACTGTAAATAATAGTTTTCCACAAGCTAGGTTTCCTTCCAGGGCTCCTAAGCATCCTTCAGCAGGATTTTGAATTCTTTCATCAATCAACATCATAGAGATTGGTTGATCAATTTTATCAGATAAGGTGCTACGAAGTTGAATTCTAATAGCTCCTATTGTAACCCAAAAAAGATTCTTGCTGTTATCAAGATCTATTTTTTGTTTGGCTTTATTTATATCTTGTTTGGTTAATAAAGATATTCCTATCTTTCCATAAGTATGTTGTACATGTATGGTAAACTCTTTTTGAGATACACCGTAATATATATGTCTATTTTTCTTTTAAAATCTTTCAATAAAACCTGGTTGATCAAAGATCTCTTTTGGTTCTATTGTAAGTTTTATCTTACATATTTTAGCTAACTTCTTATCAGAAATTAAAATTTCCTTCGAGAATTTTCCTTGTGATTCAATCTGCTCACAGATTTCATCATTAATTTCATTATCATCGTTAATATGTTTATCAACTTCCATGATGACAAGTTATATAATGTAAGATAAATGTTCTAACATCATATTCATATGTCTGTAAAGCAGTAATCATGCTTAATTTATTCTTTGTTATTGCTGATTTATGTCTCCTTGACATAGAATCATAATAAATGTTTCTACAAGTTTCATATAACACATATTCAGATGTAATAATAAGAATATGTGTATTACAAGCATCACAGTTAATCATAGCTGCCTACCAAGTTTTCTATCTGTAAGATATAAGTATAATTTTATATCTTTTAAAGTGAGTCTATTATATATGATTTTTATGTAAAATCTGAGCATGCGCTCAAATCTCATTTCTTTATAGGCTTTTTGTAATCTATTTTGAATAGGTTTTCTCATTGATGAAATGTTTTTCAATCTATCAAGTTCATTATCAAGAATAGCTTCTATTCTTTCTAATGTTCTTATTTCATTACAAATAGATACTTTCAATAAAGTTCCTAAATTTTTGTTTTCTAATAATTATTGAAAATCAAAAGTCATTATTCTTTTTTTATTTGCATTTATCTTTTTCTTTACAAAACTATCTGTATCATGTATTCCAATTAATATCTTATGATATTCATTCATAAGGTATTCATAATATTCTTCTATATTCAAAATTTTTACTGGATTAGATAAAATATCTATTATCCATTTGTTTCTTTTATTTGTATTCATAGTGTATAATGGCTCTGATACCAATTTTTCGAAGCTGGTGTGCGGAATGTAAAATTTCAAAATTATTCATGATAATGGATTCCAACTGGCATACAAGTATCAAATAAATAAAAGACTTTTACAAAGCTAAACCTTCTTACTGTATGTTGAGATTGGGGTTGCTTCCTTACGCTTCTGTTTGCTATGCTGTCCTTACCTCACTATGATGGATCTGATGGATTTGTTTCCCCAACGGCCTTCTGCTTTTTGGTACTCCTTTATCCTTGATCCTTATAGATACATACATGGATTATGCAAATAAGAGTAGAAGTATGAAAACATGTAATTTTATTGAAAGAAGGTTTAAAAGCAAAAACTCTCTTAAACTTTATTTAGATACAAGTATTTAGCTCCAGTATGGATCCACTGTCTTTGAGGGATTAGCCTCGAAACACGTACATTGATTTTTTAAATAT